TTTCCTTGAAAGCTCTTGTGCCAGTTGGCCCTGAAAGCTCGGTGGTCTGCGAAGCTGCGATTCGCTTCACCACACGATCACAACCTTCACCTGCGAGCTCAGACCTCTCTATGGCGGATCGCCGTGGCTTATGCTGCCCTGGAGGAGGATCACATGATTGCGTACTGGGAATCGACCCATTATCTCAAGATCACGACTGCGATGACCGACGCGGACTCCGATCTCTTCACCTACCACCAAGATCGACGTCAGCGACGGATCCGGGCCGGAGAGAGTTGGAGGAAGCTGTTGGGGGATGTTGTGCTGATGATGAGGGCTAAGTCATCGACATCCGGCTGGCCCCTTTTTCCTCCACCTGCCGACGAAGCAGGATCGGGTGCGTTGGTACCCCGGATCGGTCTCCCGGGCGGCCAGTCTCGCACAACCGACAGCGAATCTCCCCGAGTCGACTGATTTGATCACGGCCCTGTTTGAGTGCGATCAGGCAGATCCCTGGAGGAATCACTACCGTGATCCCGGTTCTGTTCATCCGTCGCGGAACATCCTTCGCCTCGTGAACAAGTTCAATCCTCCGGCGGCCCCTTAATCGCCGACCGATCTGGCCTCCACTCTTCGCCCACCTCTGAGATCACCGATTTTCTCCCCAACACCACGTTTCGTCCTGGTTGATCTCGTAATTTCCTAATTCAGCCACATCTTCTGCTCGTTTGTTCTTTTAGTCGCCTTTCACGAGTGATCTCTCTTCCAACTCCCCATGTCTTCCGTGATCTCTTACGACGGCTTCTATATGCATATATACAACATGAATTCCCGATCTCAGTCACTCTGACCGATATTTCCTCGGGATCGAGGCGATCGGGTGACCTCACCCCGTCCTCCTTACATCTCTTCATGTGATTGCATCACATTGAAGCGATTCCGATTGGCCCGTTCTCGCAGGAAGGCGTTCAATATTGCCCCGCAGTTGAGATCAGCTTCGTCGACCCAGGTTGGCTCATCATATTCTGCCCAATGGACCAGGAACTCTCGATAGATCCGACCAAATCGTATCTTCTTCCCACTCCGCACGTCAGAAATCCGCTCGACTTCAAACTCATCGATCCCTAGATCCGGGACCCAACTGTCCTCTGAGAGCAAGATCTCGTCGAAATCGAGACGATCCGCCTCATCTACCGTACGTTCCACTCGCGGCCGATCCGGAAAATCCTTGACCAATTTCAACTTCGACACGTGCACTACTGGGAAGATCTGGTACCCGGTACCTGTGATCTCGAGCTTGACGCTGAATCCGTTGATCTTCTCGGCGACACGGAACGGTCCGTGCCAAAGGTGAGCCAACTTCCGCGCGTATCCTTCCTTCACTCGATCTAAGTATAACCAGACACGGGATCCGCCCTCGATCTGATGTAATATCCAACATCCTCGTTATGCCGGTCAGCTCGATCTGCAATGGCCTCCTTCAATCTGGCATTGACTTGTTCCCGGGATTGTTGATAGTATCGCTGGACTCGATATCTCCATCGCCGCGCGTCTCGATCACGCCGTCTCGTACGTCCGACCGGCACTGTAGCCTCCAATGTCGATCTCGGATCCCACCCATGCACCAAGTAGTGAGGGGTATCTCCTATCTCCCTGGATCCGGTCGTGAGCCGTATCGGTCGCGAAGGTGAGTCGCTCAGCATATTTGTCCCAATCCTTCTGATCGAGATCGCGGACGTACATCTTGAGCGCCCTGGTCGCGGTCTGCACCAGTCTCTCAGCGGTTCCGTTGGCTTGTGGCCGATATGCCATCGTCGCTCGCTGCCGTTGTCCCAAGACCTTGTTAAACGCCCGGAAGAAATCCGACATGAAGCCGGGTTCTCGATCGTGCCGGATCATCTCACAGGCACCAAATAGCCGAAATACGCACTCCTCGTACGATCCTGCAACCGTCTGGGCCGATCGGGACGAACTGGCTTTCGCGATCACTTATCCCGTGAACAGATCTACCCAGATCAATAACTCAGTGTTTCTTTTGTGTGTTCTGGGTGGCGACGGTATGTGATCCATCGCAATGATCTGGAACGGGTACGTGGCCTGCAAATTTCCCGGTGATTCGCCCCGGATCACCGGTTTTCCTTTTCCTGTTTCGCAATCCACGCATTCCCCCACATATCGCTGGACGCTCCGGTATAATCCCCTCCAATGGAAGTGATCCCTGATCCGCTGGTAGGTTCGCCCCACTCCTTGATGTCCTCCTCTCCTTCCAACGTAGTGTGATAGTGGTGTAAGATGTCCGATTGCAGCGTTTCGGGAACCACCAGTCTCATGCAATCGGTCACGATCATCCCGCGAGCTCGGCGTGGGAGGGCAGTAAAAGAGTAGATCCTGCTCGTCCACATCGTAATCGGCCGCGACCTTACCGTACGATCTCGCTTCCGCTTGTGTGAGATCTGCGATCGAGCCACTCAGATACTTCTT